GTTGCCTCCATTCCCTTTTGGTCTTAAAGCAGCCACTCTTGTTTCATTTGGAAATCCAATTGCTTAGCCTGAGTTCCATCAAATCAGGATCTCTAGGTATAAAATGCCCCACGCTGCATCCTTCAATTGACTCGCACAAATGAATAATCCAGTTCTAATCCGCCTGCCTTTTACCAGCCGAGTTCAGAAGTTTTCCAGTGTTGGAATTGACTCTGAAATTCAGAAGTTCAGCGAGGGAGTTTTCTGGTCTTAGATCAGCATTTCCCAAACGCTCCCATTTTAAGACCTATGGACTTCAACTCCAAGAATGCCGCATGCTGGCTGCGGTGTTCTGGGAGTCGAAATCTGTTAAGATATTTAAATTTTACTTAAATTTAGTAGCTGGAATAGTGAAAGATTATGCAAGTGAACCAGAACAGACAGTTGTGATTGATTGATTGGAGAGGGCTGGCTCCCGCGTGAGGCAATCTGCGCTGTGATTGGTTGCTGTGGGTGTGGAGGGGGAGTTTCCCTTTTTTCCCCGCCTTTTTTCTTCTGTGTTTGTGATTTACCTCATGATGGTTTCCTATCTTGTCTGCTGTAAATATAGTTGCTAAATGTATTTATTTGTACAAAACTACAAGTTTGGGTCAGTATCTCTGACTTCGTTTGGACAATTGCTGCGCAATTTCCCCTGACCATTAACCTTGACCAAGACTAGTCAAGGATTACCTGTATAGATCCATTGATGTGCAAGAAACCCTTTAACAAATACCTTAACACAACTCAAACTGTTGTGTTAAGATATATAAATTTAGTAGCTGGAACAGCGAAGTGTTGTGCAGTGAGCCAGAACACACAGTTGTGGTTCGCAACATGTCTATGGAAATTCTCAGTCATCCAGGCCATGGTTGTCTGTTTCCAGGAGGCAACTGGACTTTCTTCATTTTTGTTTTGAAGACGTTTCGCTTCTCATCCAAGAAGCTTCTTCAGTTCTGACTTGGATAGTGAGGAATGGAAGGATTTATATTCCTTGCAGACAGCTGGTCATTTGCATCCTTTCAGAAGGTCATTGAGACCACTTGGAGGTTGATCTGTGTCCCCAGGGTCATCTGTAGTGCAAATGGTTCCTGTAGTCTGCCATTTTTTCCCTGGAAATCCATTCCTACTCCCTCATCATTGAAAGAGTGTTCATCCAAAATGTGGACTTGGCCTTCTTCAAAAGAGCGGCCTTTGTTTCTTAAATGGAGATGGACTACTGAATCTAGTCCTGAGGGGTTTGTTCTCCTAGGTTGGGCCAGGCGTTTGTGAAGTAGCTGTTTAGTTTCCCCAATGGACAGATCTGCACAGGGCTCACTGCATTGTACTACTTATACTATGTTGCTTACAATGCAGTGAGCCCTGTGCAGATCTGTCCATTGCCTATATATCTGACTGTCTCTGGGCTACAACACTGTCGGATTCAAATTTTTTTGACTACCAGTTCTGTGGGCGTGGCAGAGGAAGGATACTACAAAATCTCCAGTCGGGGTGGTATTTGGCGGTTCTCTGAACGACTCAAAATTTCCGCTAGCAGTTCTCCAGAAACGGTCAGAACCTGCTGAAGACCACCTGCACTTTCAACAGTTCCAAGAAGGCTCCACACCCATTTGCACCACTTAGGTGACCTTGAAGACACAGATAAACCTCCCAGTGTCCTCAACGACTTTCTAAAAGGATGCAAACGACCAGCTTTTCTGCAAAGAGTATAAATCCTTCCGTTCCAGGACGATCTCCTGCTTGAGCAGGGGGTTGGACTAGAAGATCTCCAAGGACCCTTCCAGCTCTGTTCTATTCCACACACACGCACGCGCGCACACACACACACATTTCCAATACATTTGCATGTCCCGGACAACCAGAAAGATGCAGGCCTGGCCTTTCCTTGGGGCAGTATCCCATGGGAGGGAGGGAGCCTTAAAAAAAGAGGGTTTCTCACATCTCCAATCCAGGGGAGTTTTGCAAAAAAACAGGATTTGGATAAAAGAGGATGGCTTTGTGCAAGCCGTTCTACAAATCAGACTTTGGATAAAATGTGCCTCTCTCTCTTTCTCTCTCTCTCTTTCCCTCCCTCCCTCCCTCCGTGTGTGTGTGTGTGTGTGTGTGTGTGTGTATGTGTGTGTGTGTATACATGCCTGGGTGGGGGGCATGGGGGAGAGCACACGCTTGCCTGCCTTGTTCTCAGAACAGCGCATGGCTTGTTAATTTTCTGCTCTGCAAAGTGCTGCTATAAATCGTGCGAGGCCGGGGCCAGCCAGCAGGAATTGGTTAGAATTATAGCTGTCATGTTCTAATACCTTAATGCACAGCCATTGCTCATAATGACAGGGGACAGGACTGCTCGCAAACCCCGTGCCTGACATGCTGTGCAACCCTCCC